ATATATATATATTGCCCATTCTGAGCTATTTAACCCAAAGACATGTCTCATGGATTATTGTGAGTGCATCATGTATGGGTTTCCTCTTATGAACAGAAATGATTAGATAACTTATGCTCAATCATTATCCAAGTTGTATTTGTGAAATATTGACCAATCGCTGAACACTAATGCTGATAAGTGAAGATGTGCTGATAAGATCTAGTAAATGTGTATGGAAGGGTATTTTTAGACTTCCTTCCCTCACTCTTCCTTTCCAAAAATAATTCCAGAGGTGAAATTCAGAAGCTTTACTCCTTGCATAGTCTGAGAGTGCCTATAATCTCCAGGTCAAATATCAGCACTAAGACTATATAAACTCTTAATGCTTAATTGATGGGTGTCTTCTATTGATTTCAGAATGCCACTCAGACCCTACTCCTTAGGATATTTGTAAAATAATTTTTATGGTTTCCGTATAACATCTATGCATCCCAGAACATCTTTTCCCACCATTTCTGCTTTATAGGACAACAATCCTAATAAGACACATTTCATAAGAGTATTCCATGGTACTACAAGTAAGGGGGAAGGATACAATAATTTGTCTGTTTTTTAAACTTCATTTTGGGTCTTAATTTTATGCACTGCTTAATTTGATTAGCCTTATATAGGTAGAGAGGGCAAGGGGCTAGACATCACAAGTCCTAACAACTTTGTTTTCTCCATTTTTCCTTGGATGTAATCATCAAAATCAGTGCTGTGGGAGCATAAAGAAGGAAGTCTGATATAATCCTATGTTTTTCTGTGGGAAAGGGAATAATAAAATGGCTATCCTTAAACTTACCTTAAATTCATGGAGACTTAAGAATTAAAGAAATGCAAAAGTAGCAGGAATAATAATATTCACTACTTCTGATATTTTCTTTCATCTAGTGGTTATTCAATCACTGTATCCCAGGTGGCTCCTATTTGTTCTTTATAATCTCTTCCCCCAAATCTATGGGAAAAAATTAAACTACTTGCTGAGGTGACAGAGGCCCTGGAGATGTTGAACCATGTACTTAGAGCATGAGAAGACTCATCAGTCTATATAAGGAGAAGATTGTGTAGGGCATAATGTTGGGTAACTTTGTTTAGTCCAGTGATGGCGAACCTTTTGAGCTCGGCGTGTCAGCATTTTGAAAAACCCTAACTTAACTCTGGTGCCGTATCACATATAGAAATTTTTTGATATTTGCAACCATAGTAAAACAAAGACATATTTTTGATATTTATTTTATATATTTAAATGCCATTTAACAAAGAAAAATCAACCAAAAAAATGAGTTTGCATGTCACCTCTGACACGCGTGTCATAGGTTCGCCATCACTGGTTTAGTCTCATTCTGTTTGTGTTCTGAACAGTGGCCTTTTCCTTTAGGGAAACTTTCTCCCTTTTTCATGGTAACAGTGAGGTTGTCAGCCATAGTCTTCATTTCCCTAGGGATGGTCATCTAACACAGTCCTCAAAATATTCTAGTGCCCCCCGACTGCTGATAATTGTTATTGGTCCATTGACAAGTAGCCCAAATATCTTCAATTCCATGGTGTTCTGAGGTTGGCAAACTGCTTGCTAGGAGTAAGACATTCTATTCCCTCTAGGACAAGTTACTTGAGTGTTAGGAAGCTGGCACTGCCAATTGTCATTGCCACTGCCATGTGGATAGAGACTGTATATAAAATGAACCCAAGTGGAGACAGCAAAGTTTTTGGTAGCACTGAGATCCTTGCTCCAATCCTTGAAGTTCTTTTACCCATTCTGAGCTACTCCCACATCCTCCCCAGCTTCAGGAATCAGAACATTTCCATTTTTCATAAATGTATTGCATTAGGTTAATGCCAGTGAGAAAAATCCAGTATTTAAGAAATAAGCAGATATAGAAGTGTCTACAAAAGATATTGCCATACATTTCTAAAACTTTAGATTTTAATGAGGCCTGGCCATATCAAAGGGGTGACTTCCAGGCTGCTCCTTATCCTAACTATAGAAACCACCTCTGGGAGACAGAGAAAAGTAATGCAATAGAAAGCACAGGACTTCACAGACAAAGCCCAGAAAGGGAGGGCAAGATAAGAGTGAGTATCCTTGTACAGAGGTAGAAAAGACAGTGAAAAATGCCTAGCTGGTGTGGCTCAGTGGTTGAGCATTGACCTATGAACCAGGAGGTCACAGTTAGATTCTTAGTCAGGGCACATGCCTGGGTTGCGTGTTCGATCCCCAGTAGGGGGTGTGCAGGAAGCAGCCGATGGATGATTTTCTCATTATTGATATTTCTGTCTCTCCCTCTCCTTTCTTCCATAAAAACCTATCTTTAAAAAATAAGACTTTAAAAAAATAGTGAAAAGAGATAGCAACAGTTTAGGATTTGGATATAATTAACCAAAAGTAGCACTGGAGAGTGTTTGAATTATAAATTTCTCATACTTTAGGCTATTGTCTTTTTTCTCTATACAAAATATATCATCACATAATTATTTTCCTAAAATAAAAATCCCTTCTGAAACACGAGGGCCATCATTTCCGCAAGAAGTTTGATTTTTTACAATTACTATTATCTTTTGCCTGTGCGAGAGCTAACTGATTTTGCCTTTGTGCCAGAAATTCTTTTAGCCTTAGGGATAGATACATAATGAGCATATCTCTACTAAAATGAAACTGAGGTCTCACATTTTAAAATGAATGTTCCTAATACATAGAAATAAGCTCAGTTAGGGCTGAGATTTCCCAAGAGGTCTTAACAATACAGAGAATTTAAATATTAAAGTATTATAATTTTGCATATATTAACAATTGCAGAGCAGATCTGGTGTTGTTCAAAGGAATTGGACTTCAAAATTTCTAAGTTTCAATTATTTCCATCTGAAACAACAGGATAATAATGTTGGGTTTTTTTTTTAAACTACCTGGAGTTCACGTATTCCCCAAACCATTGACGCCATCTCTTTATATTGTCACACTTCATATATTTTGCACCCACTTTGCCAAGGTAGAAAATAAGAAAAAAAATATGTTTCCCAGATTCTCGTTTAGCAGTCCTATTGCTTAATGTTAGCAAAGTTATTTGACTTCCTAAAATGTGGATATGGGAGGATTATCTGCAAGCAGATGGCAAAGATATCTGCCCCTTCTGGAGTAGCCCTATGCCCACAGCATGGTCGGTCCTGAGCAGCAGCTGCCAACAGCCCTGCAGTGTGGGGAGCAGCTTTGCTGACTACTCTGGCCTGACTGTAACATCCATGCCTGACTTCCCCGGCCATCGCAGGCTCCACGAGATATGACACAAACCACTAGGTGCTTAAATTGATAAGAGTGAAGTCAGTTGTTCCAATTAAGGACTGATAACTGTAGGTTTAAAGTTTTCAAAAAAGAAAGGATACATATGAAAATGCTCATTACACCTTTATGTACTCTATAACTGAAAGGCTGTTATTTTCATTATGATTATTACATGTCCTTAAATAATTACTATAATTTTGTTTCTTGTGATTCTTAAAAGCAAGGAAGCAAAATATACATATATTTTATAAAAATCCAATTATGCTAGGTTCTTAGCCTTTTTCTCTCTCTACCATTTCCTTTTGCTATAATGGATAATTTATAATGGATATTACTGGGGACAGCGATAGGACACATTTATCCCAAAGGTTTTAAGTATCCTGTGTAAAACTGTCCAATAAAATGAGGAACAAAGAAGGCCATGAGCTCATAATGCTTTCAGCTAACTATGAAAGTGAGAAGGCCCAGAGGGACTCTGACAAGCTCATGCACCTTAAATTCAGCACCACTATATGCTCCTTCCAAAGAGGATGCCTAAATAGCACTAGACAATGGAGGTGCCTAGTGGTAGGGTGCACTGATACGGAAACATCATGTGAACGAGAACAATCACCTCCCAGAGGAATCAGCTAGGGGCACAAATTGTCACTCCTTGCAGGACAGAAAACACACACACGCACACTCAAGAACAGCAACAGCAGTGGTGGCGGTATGACTACAAATACCTTGTTAAGTAACATAATACAAACAGAATGAATGGAATTTGTGATTCTCAATAGAGTATCTTAGTCATGTTTCAAGAAAGTTATATTGATGAGGGACTATCTAAGGCTTGAAATGAAAAAACAATATTTCTGGAAGTGTTCTTTGTTCCCATGTGAAATAACATTAACTTGTCCTTCAAATTTCGAACTCATTAAATAAAAGATTATTGCATCTATTGCCCTGCCCTTCCCACCCTCTCTCCCATTATATTGCAGACACTTTCTCTATTGCAAAACCATTCTCTGCTTTTCTTTCCCTGTTTCTAACTGGCGCCTGCTTTCAGAGGGGGAACTACTGCTTGTTTTCTTTTTGCAAGGAGAAAGCTCATGGAAATTACATGGGATCTCTGAAGTTAAAGTGCCATCTTGTGCCAAAGGAAAGCATCTCAATATTGACTTTTAAAAATCATTAGCAAGATACATGACCATTTTCATCTAACAGAAATCTATCAAATGCATATAAAACTCTCAATATGAAATCGCTTACACCTGAACCTACTAGTATAAATATATACCCAGCTTTGTTTTCTGTTGTTAGCAATGTCACGCTGAGCTTTACTTGGGAGCTTAAAACATGCTCTGCGTGCATGCTGCTGCATCCTGCCTCCCATTACTGCAGGACGATCAGCATAAAACGGATGCAACGACCTCATTCCCTCATACAACAGTAACGATTGTTTAAGACTTACGTAATAGTTCTTTAGTTCTTTCAGGACCAAGGGCAAACCTCAGTCCCTCTAATAAAGTTGCACGGACTGTACCAATTATGCCACTTGGAACTGATCCATTCTATTTCAAGCATTTCAATGGCAGCAACGCTCCAAGCATTGCACCCAGGAGGGAAGGCCGATGCCAGCACGCACTCCACTGCCCGCGTGCAGTCAGCGGTCGCAGGAATTCGGTGCAGCAAACGAAACGGTTTCCTGCGTTCAGCCTGACAGCTTCCAAGAGCTGTCTCAGGGGGCTGGCAAGAGGTTTTATCGTACTGTTCATGCTGACAGCGTCGTGATGCTAACAGTTAGCACATGGGATCGTCTTCGACTTAGAATTATTTAAATTAATAATCTATAGGTGGAAATGTATTTTTTTAAGTGAAGAATCTAGACTGCATTTTTAAAGCGCATCAAGTAACATAAGCCATGAAATCATAACGCAAAACACAGTCAACCATCTGGAATGAGAAAATATATCTCCCATATAACCTTAACCATGATGAAAGAAAAACAGTTACTAAAGTAGACACACTAGTGTAAATGTGAATTCAAACAGAATTCCAGGAGAGCCTGATTTGGGGGCCATGAACCTGATAGATTCTAAGATAATTGAGAGCAGATTGGTGTCCAAAAAAGGCTAAAATAATTCAAGGGATCAGTTAAATAATTCTTTCTACTCTTGAAAAAAATCCCATAGAGGATGAATATATATAAGATTCTTCCACTCAACAATATGATGTCTCAGTCTTTATTTTCCTACTCAAATGTTGTAACATTTAAACTCTTTGAAATAGCATTTATTTTGTCTATAACAGTATTCTTGGAAAGACCATGAACAGGAGCCATCATATAGAGAAATATATATTCTTGACTTTTTTTGTCATTTTTGGTACATGAAGAAATAACAATGTTTGCTGAGTTTCTAAATAGTCTGGCCTTACATCTAATTCTGCACTTTGCATTGGAAGTTGTTAGAGTACATGATAAGACTCATGGGGATTATTACTAGTATTAATCTCTTCTAAAATAGTAATGATATGGTATCTAATGTTATCCTTTTGTTTATAGATTTATCAGATAACTAATTTTTATAATTAATTCTTTTTTTATTAAGTACTTAGTTTATGTCTACCATTTGGCTGAGTGTGTTGTTTTTTTAAATGATCTAATTGAATCTTCACAAATACTGAAGCTCCGCACAGTAAAGCAAATTTTCCCAAATTAACAATCTAATTCGCATGGGATGTGGCATGTAGCTTAATTTTTACGTCTGCTAAAACCATACTCTCAAGACAACTTTGAACAACTATGACACACACACACTTTTTTTTCATAATTTAATGACCATGAAAATATTACTTTGTTTAAAAGCACTGTAGCATTTCAATAAACACAATATGCTTATATGGCATATGTTTGAGTAATAGAAAAGAAATACTCATAGTGGATTTTGTTCAATGTCCTTCCCATAAATTCATTGAGTGGAATGCTATATTAGGTTCTCCTGCTAGATATCTCAGAGTCTCAACCCATGAGGAAAGTTTTGTGGCATCAGCTGTCCCAGAGCCTCTCAATATTACTTTGTTCCATTGCAAAATGGCTTTCCACTGGGTTTGGCTGTTTCCTCTCACATAGTCCAATGGTTACAGTAGAGACTGTGGCTGGAGGGGCAATATTAGTGATATGCAAGACTCCCAAGGCAGTGGTGGAAACATTCTCATCTTGTCAAAGACAAGCCCCTTACCCTTTTCCTGTTTCCCCTCACATCTTTCTGTTTCTCTCCTTTGGGGGAATGACATTGTGAGAGGTGAGAGTGGAGATGAAGTTCATTATCTCATAACTACATGATCCATGGTCTACCAATCTTTTAAAAGTGAAAAAAACAACAACCCAGATTTATGTGCAGACACACAGGCACTGCTGTGTGGTCCCCCAGGAGACATGCAACTTGTTAGAGACTACACATAGCGCAGTGGATGAGGCAAGAGTCTGAGGGTCATATCCACTTCAAGTCTCTGTTTGACTTGAGGTCACTGAAATCCACAACAAAGTCTGGTGGCAGCTTGATATTTTAATGAGCAAAAAGTATGTCTGTTTATTACCGTAAATCACTCTCCTTTTTCTTTTTTCACTTTCCCTCACTTTTCTTTGGATTCATCAGTTGCATCAGGGGACAGGATACTTTGGATGGCATTCAGATCTATAGAGCCACTGAAGACAACATTGATTTTTTATAGCCAGATTTCCCTATTTTAAAAAGTGAGGAAAAGCCCTTTCTTACTCTCACTCTCTCCTTCTGTGTACTTAAACACACACACACACACACACACACACACACACACACACATACACACACACACACTCAACTATATTTCTGAGGTGATTTGTACAAGGTAGGGAGAAGGGCATATGATTCAGTTCAATTCAATTCTATTCAGAACCACTGACAATATAACATACTGAATGTCTGGTTATGCCCAGGGTCATAAAGTAAAGAAACAGAAAATGAATGCCATTTCCAACAGGCCTATTTTTAAATACTATTATTAACTGGTTTTTAATCCTCTTCACCCTGACCCCAACTACTGCAAGGGAAAGTGTCTGCCTTTCTGAAGCTCCTGATACAAAAAGGTGAAAACACAACCATACACTTGAAAAATGAGAGAAAAGGTATACTTGTTGCTTGTCTTGCCTCCGGAAACAATTCCATGAAGGGAAATGGCAGCTTCTTCTGACACCATCACCTACATCTGCCCTTCTCCTCTTCTCATTCAAATTGTCAAAACAAAGTGAATTTAAAGACAAAACAAAACAAAACCTGGACTAGAAAGACTTGTGTGTTGTACAGAAGTGTGACATGCACTCGGAAGTTCCCTCAATAGCTGTAAACTCCTCTCTGACCTGGACAAATGGATGGTGTTGCATTCCCAGAGTACAGGCCAGGGCAACGCCCTCCCTCACTGCCTCCTCCCGCGGGCACTGTTTGGCCAGGCCTGGCAGCTGGACTAGATGCTGAAGATAGAAAGGTGAGGAACCAATAGCTCTGCTTCAGGTTGTTTGCAGGACAAGGCAGGAGACGCCAGGGGCAGAAAAACAGAGCGGTGTCTCCAGCCTGAGTGAGGCGAGGGGATGGGATATGAAAGTGGGATCCCCTAGGACTTACATGAGCTAAGTCATGGCAATAAGGAAGAGCTACTCTGTTGGAAAGGGGCTGGCGCCAGGCCAATAAAGGCAGAAGTCACTTCATGTGCTAAGGCCAAAGGTCAGAAATAGTGGGGTATTGTAACAAAGAGGAATTTTGAGTTGGTAAAGACTTTCTAGCATCAGTCTTCTCAAGAATACATACTGTGGTTTATTTTGTTTTTTGTTTTTTCTTATGATGTTTCCTCATTGCAAATTATATTACTCTTTATATAGTATGGGTCTAATAATGATTCTAAGTTTACCTTACATCAGGAAGATTGGTACTATCAGAATGATGTCATTGTCTTTACTCTTTTCCGCAGCCTCAAGAGCAGATGCCCCCACCTTCACACCAAAGCTATCCTATATAATAAAAGGCTAATAAGCAAATTGACAACCATGGAACGATTGGTCGCTATGATGCACACTGACCACCAGGGGGCAGATGCCCAAAACAAGAGCTGCCACAGGGGGAGTGCCATTCAGCCAGAAGCCGGGTTCATGGTTGGCAAATGCAGTGGCAGTGGCAGGAGCCTCTCCTGCCTCCAGGCAGTGCTAAGGACCCCTCGGGGGATGTCTGCCTGCCGGCTTAGAGGGTGCAGGCCAGGCTGAGGGACCTCCCCCTCCCCCCACAAGTGTATAAATGTCGTGCACCGGGCCTCTAGTACTATACAATGTCTGATGAAGTACAAGGTACACAGAGGTTTGTAAAATGTAATTACCTGATTTACATTAAGTCCAATATTAAAAATAAATTCCCTTTACAATGGCTCCTCCTATTAAACCACTGAAAGTAACTGGGCAGAATTTCTGTCTGATACTTGTAAACATCTAGGCTCAATAGATTTCTATATAAATATTTTAAACTATTTCTACTGAAATTGATCTGATGCATTTCTGCAGCAAGAACAGTTACTCTCAGCCCAAAGATACTTCTCAGGTTATGGCAGTTTGAAGAAAAGAGTTTTAAAGCTAGGTCTGGTAGCTATTAGAGTATAAATGCCTTGCAATTTTTCCTTTTGAAAGTATGATTCATGTCTCTGAATTTTTAAGTAGGTGTCAGTATTGATAAATATGATCGACAGATACCTGCATTTTCTTTTGACCATCTGTCAAATGGCCTCCATGTGAGGTCCCACTAGATGGTCTATAATTTTGGGGGGGAAAATAAATGTTTTTCTTACAAAATAGATCTCATAATTGGAGTTCTGTTTTACTGCTGCTATTTGAACTGAAATACAGTCACTAACTTCTCCTTTCTTACTGTATAGTCTTCCTCCAAAGTTCTATATGAAAGTCAATTTTACTTCATATATTTTATCTGACAGCCTCATCACTTTTTCTGCTTCTTGCTCTGTAGAATATATATACTCTTCTTGGCCTTCGGATTTTCTATTAAGACAGAATCATTTTTTATGAAGTTCACTCTTTATGGTGGACTTACAATATGTCTAAGGTCATTAGAATCACAAGAAATTAGCTTATCATTTGCCAAAAATTAAGATAAAATTTCTCAGCAAATAAAAAATGAATATATATTACCACATTTTCAACAATATTCTCCATGTTTGATATCAAATGTCTCCCAGATCTCTTATTTTAAATTATTTTAACTTCCCATTGTTAACATCAACCTCCTGACAAGCTGTCAGCAGCACAGTGAGTGAATCACATGACCAAACTGACTGAAGAAGGAAGACTAAAAATTCAAGTCTACTTTAGATATTTATACTACTATACAGCTAAAATGATTGGGAATAATCAGAGTCTACATGTTATGTCCATTTTATATCAAGATTAAACATAATGGTCCTAGTCATCAACAA